CGCAGTATGACTCATGTTGGTATATTTAGCTTCGATAACATGAGAATTGTTCCCTTCTTGATCTGATTTGGTTGCACTCCCTTGGATTTATTTCTTGAATGAAAATCCAATTTTTTTAAACATAATAATTTCTTTGCTTTAGAAAATGAAAGATTGGGTGTACAATCTTTGCCGTGCTTGTCGCCTGGAAAAAGAAACGGACGATGATAATAACTCTTATATGCAGCAAACTTTACCCATGGCTGAGGGTAATATCATTTGGGTTGATTAGATGTTATAATTGCTACATTCGGACTTCCCTTTCTAATTCCTTTTTTCTATAGCTCCTTCCCATCGGTCAACCTTGCCATCTTCGATAGCAGGATTATCGATTTATTCTGACAGATCATCGGAAAGTATGCTCGATACGCCAAGAAGTGAAGTCAGTCGCGACTTTGAGGTAAAACACCGCTCTTTCCACTTACCATTTGTTCTTTTGGTTCTTTTCCCATTTTTATTAGTGCTCTGTTCTTCCGTTTTTCTTACTTTTCCTTTCTATCATTCTTCATGAAACATGTGTCTTAGGTTTCTCCTTTTCGCTCTGACTAGTTTTTCTATACGGAGTTCCTGTAGACCATGTGGTTGCACGGAAGTAACTTGTTGTAGTAGCAAATATTTAATCCCCCTTCTGGCGATTTGCGATGAAATGAGGGATATTCTAGAAAAGTTTTCCCAAACATTTTTAGCAACTATCAGATAATCTAGACTACACACCATGCAGCAGGAATGATTTCGTCAAGCCAAACCCTTGTTTTATTAGAAAGCTAACTTCAAATTGTTGCACAGAGTATCCTCAAAGTGTATAGTGCTCTGGTTCAGTATGTCCGGGTTTTATTTAGCTAATCGCCGTTGAGAAATTAAAGGGAGTTAGCTTGCCATAGAATACATTAAATAACTAAATCTAATGACCAATCTCTGGTTTATCTTTAACGTTTTTATGGCCAAGAACATTTAAAGAAGGACGTTAATGGCTACTAGACTACAATAGCAGATTCTTTCCCCTTTTCCAAACGACTATCTTTCAAGTAACATAGTAAGTTCAACCCTTTCACTGCACGTTGATACATAGATCCAGTGACAGCGAAGGAAATTATGTTGCATAACTTAGCTATATACTATTAACATTGAACGCGTGATGAAGTGGTTTTATCGACGTAGTATCAGGTACCAACGCCACGATCACCGCGTGGAAATGATGAACTACACGATTTCGAGTTTGTTTGTAATCCCAAGCGTGTGTCTCGTTTCAACTCACGTCTCTGTACCAGCTCCATGCCTCCTGAGTTCAAAAAAGGAACGGTTTCCAATCCGGTCACCCCTTCTGAAGCCAATGTTCCCTTAAACATATCAATTGTTTCGTCC